TTACCCAGTCTCAGGTAGTATCTTTATACAGTGTGATAATGGACTAATATAGAGAATTGGTCCCAGCAGAGTGAAGTACTACTATAAAGATAACCTGAAAATGTAGAAGTGACTTTGGAACTGCCTAATAGGGGGAGGTTGGAATGATTTGGAGGGCTCAGAAGCAGACAGGAAGATGTGGGAAAATTTGGAACTTCCTAGAGACTTGTTGAATACTTTTGACCAAAATGCTGATGGTGATATGGACAATGAAGTCCAGGCTGGGTTGGTCTCAGATGAAGATGAGGAATTTATTGGGAAGTGGAGCAAAGGTCACTCTTGCTATGCTTTAGCAAAAAGACTGGCAGCATTTTGCCCATGCCTTAGAGATCTGTGGAACTTTGAACTTGAGAGAGATGATTTAGGGTATCTGGCGGAAGAAATTTCTAAGCAGCAAAGCATTGAAGAGGTGACCTGGCTTTTTCTGAAAGCATTGAATCATATGTGTTCACAAAGAGATGGTTTGAAATTGGAACTTATATTTAAAAAGGAAGCAGAGCATAAAGGTGTAGAAAATTTGCAGCCTGACCATGTGGTAGAAAAGAAAAACCCATTTTCTGGGGAGGAATTCAATCTGGCTGCAGAAATTTGCATAAGTAACAAGGAACTGAATGTTAATAGCCAAGACAATGGGGAAAATATCTCTAGGGCATGTCAGAGATCTTTGTGCAGCCCCTCCCACCACAATCCGGGAGGCCTAGGAGTGAAAAATGGTTTCCCGGGCTAGGCCTAAGGCCCTGCTACTCTGTGCAGCCTTGTTACTTTGTACCCTGCATTCCAGCTGCTCCAGCTCCAGCTGTGGCTAAAAGGGGCCAAGGTACAGCTCGGGCTCTTGCTTCAGAGGGTACAAGCTCCAAGCCTTGGCAGCATCCATGTGGTGGGGGCCTGAGGGTGCACAGAAGACAAGAGTTGAGCTTTGGGAGCCTCTGCCTAGATTTCAGAGGATACATGAAAATGTCTGGATGTCCAGGCAGAAGTCAGCTCAGGGGCAGAGCCCTCATGGAGAATCTCTACCAGGGCAATGCAGAGGAGAAATGTGGGGTTGAAGCCCCCAAATGGAGTCCCCATGGGGGCACTGCCTTGTGGAGCAGTGAGAAGAGGACCATCATCTTCCAGACCCCAGAATGGTATCTCCACTGGCAGCTTGCACATGCAGCTGGAAAAGCTGCAGGCACTCACCTCCAGCTTGTGAAAGCAACCATGGGGTCTGTACCCTGCAGAGCCACAGGGGTGGAGCTGCCCAAGGCCTTGGGAACCCACCCCTTGCATCAGTGTTTCTTGGATGTGAGACATGGAGTCAAGGGAGATCATTTTGGAGCTTTAAGATTTAATGACTATGACCAGGCGGTAGCTCAGGCCTGTAATCCCAGGACTTTGAGGGGCTGAGGCAGGCAAATCACCTGAGGTCAGAAGTTTGAAACCAGCCTGACCAATGTAGTGAAACCCTGTCTGTACTAAAAATACAAAAATTAGCCAGGTGTGGTGGTGCACACCTGAAAGCCCAGCTACTTGGGAGGCTGAGTCAGGAGAATTGCTTGAACTGGGAGGTGGAGGTTGCAGTGAGCCAAGATTGTGCCACTGCACTCCAGCCTGGGCGACAGAGGAAGACTCCATCTCAAAAAAAAAAAAAAAAAAAAAAAAAAAAAAAAAAATTAATGACTACCCCACTAGGTTTTGGACATACATGCGGCCTGTGGCCCCTTTGTTTTGGCCAATTTCTCCCATTTTGGAGAACATTAAGAATGAAAACATTTACCCAATGCCTGTACCCCCATTGTATCTTGGGAATAACTAACTTGTTTTTGATTTTACAGGCTTCTAGGTAGAAAGGACTTGGCTTGTCTGAGATGAGACTTTGGACTTGGACTTTTGGGTTAATGCTTAAAGGAGTTAAGACTTTAGGAGACTGTTGGGAAGGCATGATTGCTTTTGAAGTGTGAAAAGGACATGAGAGTTGAAAGGGGCCAAGGTGGAATGTCATGGTTTGGCTCCGTGTACCCACCCAAATTTCATCTCAAATCGTATTTCCCATGTGTCAGGTGAGGGACCTGGTGGGAGGTGATTGGATCATGGGCGAAGTTTTCACATGTTGTTCTCATGAGAGTGAGGGAGTTCTCATGAGATCTGATGATTTAAAAATGGCAGTTTCCCCTGTGCACTCTCTCTCTCCTGCTGCCATGTATACCTTCCTTCCCCTTACCTTCTGCTATGATTGTAAGTTTCCTGAAGCTTCCCCAGCCATGTGAAGCTGTTAGTCAATTAAACCTCATTTCTTTTTAAATTACCCAGTCTCAGGTAGTATCTTCATAGCAGTGTGAAAATGGACTAATACACAATCTAAGTGCATCATATATTGAGATAGCAGATAAATTACATCAATACAATGGCTTATTAAGTTACTAGTAAATAAAAAATGATGAAGATTATGATACTGTGTGGGTAGATTTTTGTTATAAGTTCAAGTGAAAAAATTTATAGAGGAAATGAATATTGGTTGAGCCTCAGTTAATATCTAATTTAATCCTTGTTATTATTACATAAGATCATCAAAATAGGACAGTTGGTGCTATGATTACAGTTATCTAATGATAATCTAGTTGCAAAGAACAAGAATGTGATAGGTTAAAGTGAAAACAGTTTACTTGAATTGGTGGAACTGTGGGTGCATCATTGAGGGATTACAGTTACATACTCATAAACAGAAACCCCATTTAGTGTGACTTAACCAAATAAAGGCAAGTTTTTTTCATGTGAAAAGTCCTGAAGAAGGTGGTCTTAGGATGGTGTGGTGCTGTTGTCATCAGGGTCTTAAACACCTTCGTCCTTTCTGCTCTGCTGCCCTTAATGTATGACCTTACTCCGCATTGTTTCTGTATGATTTGAAGATGAATGTTTTACCACCAATATCACCTGTGAATTCTAGGCAAGAAGAAGGGGAGGGCACAGAGCAAAAGGCTCCTGCCGGCTGATTCTCCTTCCTTTTAATGAGTTTTCCTGGAAGTCTCATCTAGGTACTTTTGGTTCCATATCACTGATCAGCAGTGTGGCACACAGTTCCCATTAGCTGAAAGAAAGTCCAAAAAAAAAAAAGTCCAGAAAATGTATTTTTTTCAAACCTGGGCATAGTGCCACCTAGAATAGAAGAGGGGTTATGTATTTATGGAAGAAGGGGAGAAAAAGACATTAGAAAGTAACCAGCAAGTGTCTGCCAAGTTATTTTCCCCTGAATGCTGTGATGCTTTTAATCATAAAAATTAGACTGACTAAGGTAAGAAAGACATCTGGTAGTGGGCGAGATGTAACGATCCTAATTTCTTAACTGATATTTGGCTTGTCTAGATCCTTTCAGCCTTCTCCTTTTCACATGGCCTTACAATGGTTTTATCCTAGATACTAAGTCTCTAGAGGGCCAAGAAGGTGGAGTTTTACTGCATTTTATAGGACTTACTTGAAAGTTCAGAGAAAAATGGGAGTATTGAAACTTAGGGCTAAAACAGATTTGGATACATGAGGAAAGGTTGTGAGGTTGTATAGTATGCTTAAGCCTTCTCTGAGCTTCAGTTCCTCCTGTGTAAAATATAATGTGATCTGCTGTGCTTACTTTGTAGGTTAGAGGGATTTTTGTTTTTGAGACAGGGTCTTGCTCTGTTGCTGGAGAATAGTGGTGTGATTATAGCTCACTACAGCTTTGAACTCCTGAACTCCTGATCTCAAATGATCCTCCTGCCCACCCTCCCCAGTCAGTAGCTGGTACTACAGGTGTGCCACCATGCCCAGCTAATTTTTTTTTTTTTCTTTTTTAGAGATGGGGTCTCACTGTGTTGTCCAGGTTGGTCTTAAACTCCTGGGCTCAAGTGATCTTCCTGCCTTAACCTCCTAAAGCCCTGGGATTACAGCCATGAGCCACCACACCTGGCCAAGGGTTTTTATGAAAATGAAGTGGAGGAGATAGCACCTAGGTTTTTGTGTAGAGTAATACAATTTACAACATCAGACTGATTTCATTTAGTGGTCCAAAGCCACACACCTATTTCATGGTATAAGTTAGACTTGAGCTTAGGACTCCTGATTTCTCTTCCAGATGATATACTGCACTGTCTCTTCACTATTGCATTAATCTCATAACTAAATACTCTGTAACTCAGCATTTTACGTTATCCAGTTCAGCAGTTCTTTTTTTTTTTATTTTGAAACAGGGTCTTGCTTTGTCACCTAGGCGGAAGTGCAGTGGCACAAACATGACTCACTGCAGTCTTGACCTTCCAGGCTCAAGCAATCTTCCAGCCTCAGCCTCCCAAGTAGCTGGGACTACAGGCATGTGCCACCATGCACAGCTGATTTTTTTGTAGAGACCAGGTTTCACCATGTTCAGTTCAGTAGTTCTATACTAACTTAACTTGCTGGATGAAAAGTGGTGGTAGGTGGGAAGCAGTGAGGATCATTTTAGATGATATAAGTAACGGAAAAGTTCCCTATAAGTATGCAAAATATTCATGGGATACAAATGACAGGGGAAATATTTAGGGCTAGAAAGACGGATCATATTGACCTGTTCATGTTGATTTATACTTGATATATATGATACTTGTCGATTTCTGTGTTTTAGCTGGTCAAACAATACCAAGTTTTAAGAAATACATTTTATAACATTTTACATATTGATAGAGAAACAAATTTGAAATTGCACAAATCAAACACAAACTTTTAGCATCTAGAGTGTCACCAATAAAAGTATTTATAATAATTATGTGATTTTCTAATGCTGGGTGGGGATTAGTTGAGTTGAATGTTAAAGCAATATATTTTTGCTTTGCATATTTATTGATGTACATATTTTAAAAACTTAAAATTTGAGAATCATTTAACTACCTAGAGATTTTACAATTTCAAAACTTTCCAAGGACCTTAATAATGAATGTGCCCTTAAAATTGTGTGCATTTTTTTCTTTCTCCCTCTGTAGTGAGTTACCTGAGAGAGAAGAGGGCGAAGGAGAAGAAACTCCAAATTTTAGCCACTGGGGTCCACCGAGAATGTATGTGGATGGCATTACTGGCTTTCTCCATAGGAGCACAACCAGTTACTCTTTTCTTTAACTTAACAGAGCATCATTTAGTCCTACTCTAATGATTGAAAAATTGTGATAATTCACCTGTAAGCTGGTCTACATTTTAGTTTCATTTTATCTTATCTAGAGATTTTTAGCCGAACGAAACGACTATAACTAACATTAGGAATGTCTTTGATACTCTTTCAGAGAAAGCAACGTAGAAATGTCCATCTAACAGGTATAGTTTATCACTATGTCCTTAAGCAAGTTGGGTAAAGCTGCCTTGAATGCAGTAAAGCTTTCTTTTTTGGTAAACAACAATAACAGTAGTTGAGGCTTCTAGTATGTATCAGTTTATCTCTACCTTCCTCCCCTGGTGGAGAGTCCATGTTTGTGCTAACAGAATGTGTGGAAAACCCATCTTCCCTTGGATGTGGGGGAAGTTTTAAGTACTCACCAGCTGCTGTAATTTTAAGTCCTCACCAGGGCTGCACTTTAAGATGATGAAAGTCTCCCTTTAGCTGGTCTCTCTATTCCGTATCTATTATTAATTCCACCACCTCCACCCAAACTGGTTCTTTTCTTGTAATTGAAATCTGAATTTGTCTTAAAACATTTAAGAGTTGTTTTCTGAGTTATGTTTTTAATGAGTTAATTAGTGGCTGCAGTGCAAAACCTATAATATTTTGAGGGGGGGAGTTTTCATTTCATACTTTCTTTTAAATAATGACATGGAGGTAGGAAGAAAACAAAACCTTGTGACCTTAGGAGCAGGTAAAATCTGTCCTCTGATTAAAGAACCACAGAGATAAACCTGCTGACTGGGAAAAGCAACTTGGACAATGAGCCACTCAGTGTCAAATTGATTTTATTCTGAAAGTCTATACTTTTTGCCGAAACGACATATGTAGCTTTCTTGATTTTATGTCTTGCCCATTTGTTATTTCTTCAGTCCTTTCTTTGCTTATGTTATGGATATAAATGAAAAGGACTAATCACAGAAAATATATTATGATAGGAGATGGGAACATTAGGGCTTAGCTAAATCTTCACTGAATATTTAGAGTTATATTTATTGTTCTAGAAATCTATGCTTTTCAGAACTGAAGCTTTCACTTGTTATGAATTATTGATAACATTGGAACTGGGTATAATTTGTATAACATTTGTAAAAATATATTTCAAAAATTTATATAAAATATGAGTCACAAGGATATAATACAAATGGAATACTTACAGTCCAACAGATTAAACTTGTTAATGAGTGAGTTTTGTTTTTTTCCTTTATATAGTGTTGAGATTTTTAGAGAACCCAATGTGTCTCTTGGAATCAGTATTGTTGGTGGACAAACTGTTATAAAACGTCTAAAGAATGGAGAGGAACTTAAAGGTATATTCATCAAACAAGTTTTAGAAGACAGTCCAGCAGGGAAAACAAACGCACTTAAAACTGGAGATAAAATACTTGAGGTAAATGATGTTAAAGTACTGTTTTTATTGGAAACATACTGTAAGACAGTGAAATAATCATTTAGCTCGAAGACCTTTCTTTATGTGTTGGGGACCGTGTATGTACAGTCGGTGTGCTCTATTTATATGCCTTAGTTTGTACATTGTATGCACAATTTATGAGTTTCTCAAGTGAGTGGGGGTGGGGGTAAACAAATAAAATGATAAAAGAAAAACGTCAGCTAATTGCAAAAAACACTTTAACTAACAAAGGGCTCTATATAGAACAGGGCAGATGGTAGGCATTATGCTTCTCCCACATTCTTTAACAAGCTATAAATTTTTTTCTTGAAGCTCTAAATTTTATAATTGTGTATTAGTAGGATATCTATGCTTGTTTAGGGAAAGAAATTGACCCTGGAAGGTTGAAGACTCTATTGAGGGGGGAGGATCCATGATTTGCACCTGATATGCTTCGTGGGAGCTAAGTTTTAAAGGCACATCAGGCCGAGCATGGTGACTCATGCCTGTAATTCTAGCACTTTGGGAGGCCGAGGCGGGCACATCACTTGAGGTCAGGAGTTTGAGAGCAGCTTGGCCAACATGGTGAAACCCCATCTACTAAAAATACAAAAATTAGCCGGGAATAGTGGCACACGCCTATATTCCCAGCTACTCAGGAGGCTGAGACAGGAGAATCGCTGGAACCCTGGAGGTGGAGGTTGCAGTGAGCCAAGATTGGACTGCCCTCTAGCCTGGGTGACAGAGCGACACTCTTGTCTCAAAGCAGAAAAAAAAGGCACATGAAACCACTGAGAATGCCCTGAGGTGTGAATGTGATACCTTTCTTTGCATTGGGTTAATTGGGTGACACCATGGTGGGTACCTCTAATCCCATAATCTGCTTGTTCTTGATTCATTCTTTATGATGCTAACCATCAATCATGGTGTTTTACCTCTGACAGAATACAAAGAGCCCTGGATATCATGGGTTGGAGTCGGAGTCTGTCCTTTTTATTTTCTGTGTGTTTTTGGACAAATCATTAGACGTACTTACTTTGTTTTCAGATAAAATGGAAATGAGAATTCAAAATCGATAGCATTATTATGAGGATTAAATTAAATAACTACATAAAAGCTGCTCTGTATATACAAATGTTGAGTTATAGTCGTGCTGTGCAATGTTTAAAACAATTTTCAAATATACTACTAATATGGCAATGAAGAAAATGACCAAAAGTCCCTTACCTTATGGTGTTTACATGATAGTGGGAATGGGGGAATAGACAATAAAATAAATAAGTATATGTAGAATGTCAGATTGTAATAAGTAGCTAGGGAACAAAATAAAGCAGGGGAGGAGGATAAGGAGCGTCGGGTTGAGGGGGATGCTGAAAGCAATAGTCGCACTTTTAATAGCTTTGTTATGGACGATGATATTGGGACAAATAGAGGAAATGAGAGAGTCAGCCATATGGATATGTGGAGGAAGAAAAACATGCAAAAGCTCCGAGGTAGGAGCTTGCCTGGATGTGTTCAAGGAGCAGCAGGAAGTCCAGCAATGATAGCATAGCATGAACAAGCCAGAAGGGGTAAGAGAAAAGGGCTGAGGAGTGGTGGGAAGCCACATCATGTAGAGCCTGAAAGCTCTGGAGGGTCTTCTGCTCTGAATGCAGTGGAGAGTCACTGGAGAATTATGAGCAGGTAAGTATTGTTTCAAGGGAGTATTCTGGCTTCGGGGGCGGGGATGGAAGCAGGGGCCTCAGCCAGAAGGCTGTTACAGTAACTTAGGAGAGAAAGAATGGCGGCCTGGACCAGAAGGAGGGCAGTCAGGTTGTAGCATATTTTGCAGGTGAATAATAGGACTTACTAACAGAATGGATGCAAATAAAGTGGCAAAGATAATTGAAAAGCTTTTCAGCTTGAGAAATTGAAGATGGAATTTCCATTTGCTGAGATGGGAAAGGCTGTGGGAGGAACAGATTTGGGGAGATACGTTTTAGACATGTTAGGCTAAGATGCCTATTTGACATCCATATAGTGATAGTCAGTTAGATAAACAAATAAGGAGTCCCGTGTTCTTACTAATTTTTTTGGTCTTTTTCCTCAGTTTCAGTTAGAGTTTGTCTCCCACTGTGATTATGGATTGGTTTGCTAGTCTTTGTAATTCTGTTGGTTTTGCTGTATTTAGTGGATTTGTTGGTGATTTGCTTTTGACATTATGTAGTTTTCCTCTTTATTCCTATTAGTTACTTTTTACCTTAAATTCTATTTTATTAATTTGGTAACCTTGTTTTATTTTAGTTATTAATTTACATGGTACTTTGCTTTTTTTTTTGAAATGGAGTCTCTCTCTGTCACCCAGGCTGGAGTGCAGTGGCACTATCTCGGCTCACTGCAACCTCTATCTCCCAGGTTCAAGCAATTCTCCTGCCTCAGCCTCCTGAGTAGCTGGGATTACAGGTGCCCACTACCTTGCCTGGCTAATTTTTGTATGTTTTGGTAGAGATGGGGTTTTGCCATGTTGTTCAGGCTGATCTCGAACTCCTGACCTCAGGTGATCTGCCCACCTCAGCCTCCCAAAGTGCTGGGATTACAGGCATGAGCAACATATAACTAAATTTTGTTTTTTTAATCCAATCATCTAGAAAATAAGTGAGGTTAATTCACTGTTACTTTGATTACTGATCTATTATAATTTAATTTTTTAATATTTATTTTTGTATTATAGTTTTCTTAATGTATTTTGAAATCATCATAAATTCATAGGAATTTACAAAGAAGTATATGGGGAAGTCCCATGTAACCTTCACTCAGTCACCTCCAATTTTAATATCTTATACAACTATACTATAATAGCAACACCAAGAAAATGACGTTGACTCAATCCATAGTTTATTCAGATTTCACCAGTTATGCATGCATTGATTTGTGTGTGTGTTTGTAGCTCTATACAGTTTTATCACATGTAAAAGCTTGCATATGCACCACCACGATTGAGAAACTCAACTGTGTCATCACCACAGAACTCCCTTGCATTACCCTTCTGTATTAGTCCGTTCTCAACTGCTATGAAGAAATACCTGAGAGTGGATAATTTATGAAAGAAAGAGGTTAAATTGACTGACAGTTCCACATTGCTGGGGAGGCCTCAGGAAACTTATAATCATGGTGGAAAGAGAAGCAGGCACCTTCTTCACTTTCGATTGCCTCTTCCCTTTCTCTCCCATCCCTAACTTCTGACAACCAGGTTTTCTGTTTGTTGATGTCTATAAATATGTTATTTCACTATTATCTCATAAATGCAATTATGCATTATGTGTTTTTTTGAGATTGCCTTTTTTTACTTAGCATAATCTCCTTGAGGTTCTTTCAATTTGTTGTACACATTAATAGTTCATTCCCATGGCTGGGTGAGGTGGCTCACACCTGTAATCCCAGCACTTTGGGAGGCGGAGGCAAGAGAATGGATTGAGTCCAAGAGTTCAAGATTTGCTTGGGCAACATAGTGAGACCCTCTCTCTACAAAAAAACTACCACTTTCTTCCTTTTTGTTGAGTAGTTGTCTTTGGAGATTCAGGCTGCCAAAACAAAATACCATAAACATAGAAATTCCATTATAGTTTTGAAGGCTGGGAACTCCAAGATCAAGGCATTGGCAGATTCAGTGTCTGGTGAGGACCTGTTTTCTGTGGGGCCAGAGATGCCCTTCTCACTGTGTCCTCATATAGTAGAAGGGATGAGCTAGCTAGCTTGCGTCTCTTTTATAAGGCCACTAATCCCATTCTTGAGGGCAAAGCCCTCATGACCTAATCCCTTTGTAAAGACCCTACCTACCTCCTAATACCTTCACCTTAGAGGTTATGATTTCAAGATACGAATTGTGAAGGACACATAAATTCCAACCATAGCAGTGGCATTTCATAATATGGATGTACCAATTTGTTTAATCATTCACCCACTGAAAGACACTTGGGTAGTTTTTAATTATTGACTATTACAAATAAATCTGCTCTAAATATTTGTGTACAAATTCCTGAGTGAAAGTAAGTCTACATTTCTCTAGGATAAATACCCAAGGGTGCAATTACTGAGTTTTATGGTAATTTTACTTTTGGTTTTGAAAAGAATTGTCAAACTCTTTGCCAGAGTGACTGGCTATACCGTTTTATATTCACACCAGCAGTGTTTAAGTTTCTCCATATTCTTACCAACCTTTTCCCTTTACTCTCACACTCAGAACACTAGATGTCACCAGATGTGTAGGAGTTTCCCCCATACACTAAGCAGTTCTCCAGTGGACACCAACTGGATATCTTACCATTCTGTTCAATTCCGATACTATGTATCTGGAGATAGTGTCAGATCCCCAGCGGACACCAACTGTCTTATAATTTAATTCAATTCCGATACTATGTACTTGGATATAGCATCAGATCATACAGTTGAGGGCTTGGTCCCACAAGATTGCCCCCATGTCAGACGCCAATCTTAGTAGGTTGACACCTATACTTTTGACCAGCTGGCTACAAACCAGAATTCCCACATCCCTCCCCCTGAATTTTGTTAATTTACTAGGGCAGCTCAGAGAAACACTTACTTACATTTACTGGTTATACAAAGGTTACAGATGGACAGCCAGATGAAGAGATGCATAGGGCAAAGCGTGAGGAGGAGGGCACAGAGCATCCACACTCTGGGTGTACTACCTCCCACCCTTCCAGCATGTCGACATGTTCAACAACCCAGAAGCTCATCAAATCTTGTTGTTCAAGGGTTTTTACAGAGCTTCACCTCTAGCCCCCACCCTCACTTCTTGGAGATCGTGGGGGAAGTGCAGGGATTCTCTAATCCTTTGGTCTTTCTGTGACTGGCCCCATCCCGAGGATATCCGGGGGATCTACCCTAAGCCACCTCAGTAGCATGAACTCACATGTGAAAGGGGCTGTTAATGCATAACAAAAGACACTCCTACCACTCAGGGAACTCCAAGGGTACTCTGTGACAAGAACAAGGACATTTCATATTATACCACAGGCACACACATCTGTGTCCTCAGCTTCTCATGTGCTCACTTCCTCCTCAGCCTACTCAAGTTCAGTGGTTGGCAGCTCCAACCCCTCCCTTGCATGTGCTTCCTACTCTTGATCCTCTTTACTTTCACTGAACTTGTCTGGGAGAACCCCCTAGTTAAGTGCAGCTCTGCTTATTCCAGGTCTCTAGCATGGCTGGAAAAATAACCAGCTATGGTATCTGGTCTCATTAGAAGCTCATGAGCACCCCCTTAAGCGGGTCTTTAGTTTTGCCCTGCTGTCCTGTAATTTTCTCCTAGCTGGTTCAGTCTCCAGTTTTTATAAGTGATATGATTTGACTGTGTCCTCACCCAAATCTCATCTTGAATTGTAGTTACCAAAATCCCCACATGTCATGGGAGGGACCCAGTGGGAGGTAATTGAATCATGGGGGTGGTTACCCCCACTGTGCTGTTCTTGTGATGGTGAGTGAGTTCTTACAAGATCCGATGATTTTATAAGGAACTTTTCACCCTTTTCTTGGCACTTCCCCTTCCTGCCACGTGTTTGCTTCCCCTTCCACTATGATTGTAAGTTTCCTGAAGCCTCCCCAGCCATACAGAACCATGAGATAATTAAACCTCTTTCCTTTATAAATTACCTAGTGTTAGGCAGTTCTTTATAGCAGTGTGAGAACAAACTAATACAACAGGTAACTGTGCCAAACCCCTTATGCCTCTTACCTCAGTCTTGCTCTCAGTTTAAGGTCCTGGTTTCAGGTTTCACTGAGAAAATAGAGGCAGTTAAAGGGAACTTCCCCTGCTTCCAGTGCTCACCAAATCTTTTTTCTAATTGCCTCTGTAACAGCAAAGGAACTACATTTGTGCTTCTATCCAAAGCCAATCTCTCTAACTTGTATGGTAGGAATCATTTCCTCTTGACTACCCAAGGATATTGTCCTTACAGTTGTCATGTCTCTCCTTTATCATCCATTTTTTTCTCTACACTGTATCATTATTGCTGTAATATTTCCTCCTGTCTTAAAAACATCCCACATCCCTCTCCACCCACATTCCTGTTTCCTCGGTCCTCTAATAGCAAAGCAGTCTTCACAAATTGTTAGTATCCATTGAGACCATAGACCATCCCAGCATTTACCAAGGCTTTGTTACATTATAGATTTGAAAACTTAGTTCTGTTAAACATGTTTTGGAAATGCAGAGTGCTCTTGGACATTTATGGGCATGTTAGCAAGTTACATTCTCTGAAATTTCTATAATAAGGAACTGTTTACACTTACTCAAATTTATTGAACACATAAATAATTTTAGTAAAAGAACTTGTGGATGTTTTTTGGTACTTCTTTTTAAACATAATTTGAGAAATGTTCAACTACTCAATTGTGGTAACAGGCGATTTGCTTAAAATATTATGCCTCTCAGCTTAATGGAGAGATGATAAAAGTCCATAGATATTCCCAGCCTCCTTTATCCCACTCGGAATTATGTACTGTGCTCCTGGCAGAGGTGGCAGACATCTTAAGGTTCTGTTATTGACCAAACTACCTGTTTTGGATAATTATATTTAACCAGGGCTGTTTTTATTAATATATTTGACTTATCTGCTTTTGTAAAGGTGAAATGTTACTTTCCTTAAACATGTTCTCCTAAAATAGCCAAGCCTTTTATGGGCCAATCTTATTTTTTTCTTACTGTGGTCTAACTCCTTAGACTCTGGTTGTTCTCATAACTAGGTAATACACATGAACTTTGAATTAACCTATCTGCAATATCTAATGCTGGTCTAATGGAAATAAGTTGCTCCTGTGTTTCAGGTGTCTGGAGTAGATTTGCAGAATGCCTCACACAGCGAAGCAGTTGAGGCCATTAAGAATGCAGGAAACCCTGTGGTGTTCGTTGTTCAGAGCTTGTCATCCACTCCACGAGTAAGTTTTAGTTCATATTTTCAAAAAGTTTAACAATACTCTGGATACCTGCAGACCAAGCTGTGCCCTCTAAATATTTTCCACATATTTTCATTGTACTTCCCAAACTATAGTTAAAGTATGAGCTTCATAAAAATTTAGTCATTAAGTTCCCTTTTTTCCCCTCCAGTTTTGATCTTCTGGTCAAATTGGAGTCATTACAGTGTGCATTGGTTTAAGTTACTGTTCCTGGAATCAAACAGACCTGTTTTCAATTTCTTGATTCCTTATTTACCAGCTTTGCTAACTTGGAGGCAAGTTACTTTTCTGAACAAGTTACTTTGTTTATGAAATACTTTGAACAGAGGGTCAGGTGTAAAAACATTGTAGAGATACTATCACATGTCGTGTATATTTATTAAAGGATGTAAAAATAAAAGCGTGTTGACATGTTGTACTGTTGTGTGGTCTAATGTTAGAGATTCCAAATGTAAAAATAGCAATATTTAATCATAAAATTTTTCTTTTTCTTCTTTTTTTTGAGATGGAGTCTTGCTCTGTTGCCCAGTCTGGAGTGCAGTGGCACGATCTCAGCTCACTGCAACCTCTGCCTCCCAGGTTCAAGTGACTCTTGTGCCTTAGCCTCCCAAATAGCTGGGATTGCAAGCATGTGCCACTATGCCCCACTAATTTTTGTATTTTTAGTAGAGATGACATTTCACCTTGTTCGCTAGGCTGGTCTCAAACTCCTGGCCTCAAGTGATCTGCCCACCTTGGCCTCCCAAAGTGCTAGTATTACAGGTGTGAGCCATTGCGCCTGACCTACAATTTTTCTTCTGTAATTAATTACTCCTGTGGTATGGAATTGGCACTGTGATATGAAATGTCAGTGGCAGGATGTGGATTTTATACTACAATGTGCAACAGAAACATCACCCTTAAAACTGGAAGCAATATTCTTTTTCTTCATTTTATAATGGAAGACAGCTGTTCAAAACATACACTTCTTTTTTTGTTTGTTTCTGGGGACAGAGTCTCATTCTGTCACCTAACCTGGAGTGCAGTGGCATGATTATAGCTCGCTGCAGCCTTTATCTCCTGAGCTCAAGCACTCTTATTATCTTAGCCTCCCAAGTAGCTGGGATTACAGGTGCATGCCACTACACCTGGTGAATTTTTTTTTGGTTTTTTGACAGGGTCTCACTTTGTTCCCCAGGCTTACATATGCACATCTAACTGCATATTTTAAAAATTTATTTGCTTTCCAATATAGTTTTGTAGTGCATTCCAATCTTTTGTATGTCGAGGCAAAAAGAAAATAATACTTACATGGCAAACTGGGCGGGTATATGGTTGGCTATCCCAGTGGTGGGGGCATTGATGGAATATTTTGCATACTTGTAACCTGCCTATGCACAGTGAGCTGCAGCCTGCATTGGCACCTCTGCTGTGTCACTGCATTTTGCAGTGTGGTGCCTTCCATTCTTAGCACCATGTTTACACCATCAAGACTAATTGAGAGAGGTGAGCTGAATAAAGTTCTCTTGTTTTCATAAAATTTGAAATTCAATAAGAATTTTTAGAATCCAGTTTTTAATTCTTATAATATTGAGAATGTAGTTGAGTCCATGGCTTTTATTTCTGGAAACCTAGTTCAACAGGAAAATTGGCCAGATTGTTGTTTGCCAAATTATACTTCCAAATCAATAATTTTGAATGAGAATGAGCCAATCAAATTATACATTTGCGTGGCCAGCTGTGAATGCCCTGCCAAAAAGGCTAAGCTTTCAATCCAACCTTTGCTAGTGAGCTGAGGTGGAAAGTTTTGTTTGGATGACACAAACAGTGCAATTTCTTTCAATTATTCAAACAAAGAAAATCTCTTCAGCACCATACCATGCTCAAGTTACTTACTCCCTATGTAGTATAATAGAGTGCCACGTTGTACATTCAGTTCATAAGGCATTGAACTATCTGTGATTCTAGCCAAGGGAGCATATCCCATTGATGATGTTAATTACTATGTCCATGACTTGTTCCATTTTCAACTTTGTTTATAGGGCAAAGTGACTTTTCTTTTTTGAGACAGGGTCTTATTCTGTCCCCCAGGCTGAGTGCAGTGGCACAATCATGGCTTGCTGAAACCCCAAACTCATTGGCTCAAGCAATCTTCCCAGTTCAACCTCCCAAGTGGCTGGGACCACAGGCACACATCACCATGCCCAGTTAGTTTTTGATTTTTTTCCTGCAGACAGGGTCTCCCCTTATTGCTCAGGAAGGTCTTGAACTCCAGGCCCAAGCAATCCTCCTGCCTCAGCCTCCCAAAATGTTGGGATTACAGGCATAAGCCACTGCACCTGGCCAGGACAAAGTGATTATTATTGCGTGAGGCAAATGAAAGGAGAATCAAGTTTCATGTCTTTGTAAAATGGTGCTATTTTTGGTTTATTATTGTAAGTAGTACTGATTATCCAGAAATAGAAAATATAGGCAATGCTTAATCATTTGTATCTAGTTTACATTAAATTTTGAACTTTCCTTAAAACCCCCAAAATAAGTCATTTTCTAATGTTGTGTCTAAGGCCTGATGTCTAAAAGTACCTTGGTCACATAAACATTCTCCTCAGTAGTATGAATTGAGCGGTTGTTTTTATCTGTGTGCATTATCAGCTGCCTTAGGAGCATCACCAATACACCTTTTTTTTTTTTTTTTTGAGGCAGAGTCTCATTCTGTTGCCCAGGCTGGAGTGCAGTAGCACAATTCTGGCTCGTTGCAACCTCTGCCTCCTGGGTTCAAGCGACTTTTCTGCCTAAGCCTCTTGAGTAGCTAGGATTACAGGCACACGTCACCATACCCGGCTAATTTTTGTATTTTTAGTAGAGACAAGGTTTCACCATGTTGGTCAGGCTGGTTTCGAACTCCTGACCTCATGATCCACCTGCCTCGGCCTCCCAGAGTGCTGGGATCACAGGCGTGAGCCACCACGCCCAGCCACCAATACACCTTTTAAATCTTCTCACCCTGACTTTCTCAAGCATATTTTCAGCCTTCTGGAAAAATGTGTGTATCTACTTGGATGTACTTGGCAAATATTTATTTGAGAGTAAGGCCTATACAACATTTTTCTGTAAGGTAATTTTTTCCACTTAATAACATAACTGCATTTCACAGAAATATAATATATATATATTTCATATTTAAAAATCCTTTTGAAATTGGGTCATATCTTCAGCTCATTATGTTTATCATCACATGTTGCTTTCTTTCTTCCTATATTCCAGTTGTACTTACCAATACCATTGTTCCATAAGGGTACCTACTTTTTTTGACACATGAACATTTTGCATATTAATCGCCTATAAATATATTTTTACTTTCACAAGAAATACAGTCGTCTGTTTTCCTGAAAGGTGGAGTCTTATTGAGCATTTTGTCTTCTAAATTTTGCTAAAGATATATGTACAGAAGAACATTTCTCTGCTATTTGAAAAACAATGGGCCAGGCGTGGTGCCTCACGCCTATAATCCCAGCACTTTGGGAGGCCGAGGTGAGAGGATCACTTGAAGTCAGGAGTTAGAGACCAGCCTGGTCAACATGGCGAAACCCCGTCTGTACTAAAAATAGAAAAAGTAGCGGGATGTGGTGGTACACACTTGTAATCCCAGCTACTTTTGGGAGGCTGAGGCACAAGAATTGCTTGAACCCAGGAGATGGAGGTTGCAGTGAGCTGAGATCGCGCCACTGCACTCCAGCCTGGGCGACACAGCCAGACTTTGTCTCAACAAAAAAAAAAAAGAAAGAAAGAAAGAAAGAAAGAAAAGAAAGAAAGAGAAACATTATAGTGGCTACTGACATTCTGTCTCATCCCAAAGCTTCTATTTAGCATCAGCTAGTTTTTCCATGGGAGAAAGTAGTAGTGTGGGCAGATAGTTTCTGATTTGTCAGGGAGGCAGTGTTTTGTTCAAGATTCTTCAGGACAAGGAGCACATGCCTGTAAACCCCACCAGTCTTTGAAATCTGACTTAGGTTGTTATATGTATTAAATAGACGTAGAAATATTAGGTACTAGCACAATGCCTCTTCACATAGCACTGTATATATATTAATGTATCATTACTGTTGTTTTTTATGTAAATGACACATTTCTGAGACTTTCTCATTTATTCTAAACTTTTTACATTCTGTATTAAAAATGAAAATTTAATCTTAAATTGCATTTAGGGGAAAATGGGCTTTTTGTTTTCAATTATCTCTAGGCAGGCAGTCTTAGTTTTCTGAGCAAGGAGTTGTTTTTTTTTTTTTCTTTTTCTTTTTAATTTATTTATGTATTTTTTGAATCAGGGTCTTGCCCTGTAACCCAGGCTGGTGTTCAGTGGTACAATTGTGGCTCACTGTAGCCTCGACCTCAGCCCCACAAGTAGCTGGGATTATAGACACATGCCACCACACCCAGCTAATTTTTAAATTTTTGTAGAGATGGAGTCTCCCTCTGTTGCCCAGGCTGGTCTCAAACTCCTGGACTCCTGCGATCCTGCTGCCTTGGCCTCTCAAAGTGCTGGGATTACAGATATGAGCCACTGTACTTGGTCTATTTTTTTCTTTTAATCTTCATGTCTCTCACCAGATTTTATGCCAAGATTATCTGTGCTAGCTCTTTGAGGAGCCTCTTTTTATAAAATTAAACTGGTTCATTTATTTATAAACATTTATTATGTACAACTATGTATTAGGCCGTTTCTGAACACTAGAGAAATAGTGAAAAATAACATTGAATTCTGCTCTCATTAAGCTTATTCAGTGGTGGGAATAGATTTGTTAATTCATCCTTATGCTAATAGTGATAGTGGAATATTTATTGAGCACACACAGTGTGGGAGATAACATACTTGAACTGGGGGTACAATGATGAATAAGGTAAATCTACCAAACAAATGTGTTATCCTATGTTCTTGGATAATTAATTAGATCACCCCTAAAACTCTATCTTGCAAAATGTGATGTTTGGATGACAGTTAGTATGTGACCGTGTTTTTAGTCTCTTTCATCTTCAGCTTCTAGATCCACATACAGAAACCTGCATTTTTATGCCCTGATGGCATATATATAACTTTATAATATTTTAGAGTTATGTATCTTGTCAGATTTTCCAAGTTTTATTGTTTGCTTTGAATTGTACTTCTCATATTTTTACCCTTTAGATGAAGTTACAAAGTTAAGATTTTAGCTGTTTAAACAAATACATTTAGGAATGTAATGATAGGCCAGGCACAGTGGCTCACGTCTGTAATCCCAGCACTTTGGGAGGCTGAGGCAGGCAGATCATCTGAGGTCAGGTGTTCGAGAGCAGCCTGGCCAACCTGGTGAAATTCCGTCTCTACAAAAAATACAAAAATTAGCTGGGCATGGTGGCAGGTGCCTCTTATCACAGCTAGTCAGCTGGAGAAGCGCTTGAACCCAGGAGGCAGAGGTTGCAGTGAGCAGAGATCGTGCCATTGCACTCCAGCCTGGGCGACAAGAGCGAATCTCCATCTCAGACAAAAAAAAAAAAGAAAGAAAGAAAAAAAGAAATGTAATGATTGAAAAAAAAAATTCTCCATTCTGGAATGTCAGAGAAAAAAAAATGTGATGATTATGTCATTTAAATATTTTCTTCCCTCCACCCCTTTTTTTTGTCACCGTAGGTCATTCCTAATGTACATAACAAGGCCAACAAAATCACCAGTAACCAGAACCAGGACACCCAAGAAAAGAAAGAAAAGGTAACTTGAACTTCTCAAGGCTTTAAAAAATGTTTTTGGTTTTATTTTTTCCATATCTGAACTCTAATAAAAGTGGCTTTTTGATGAGCGTCAGTGTTGTAGAAGCACTATGTTTATTTATTTTTTTCCTGCGAGTATAACTGGTTCTTACCAAGATGCAGAACCGAAACGTGCTGCAGCGTAGATGCAAAAATACTATAAACGGCCAGTCAGCCATCAACGTCTATAGCTTTCTTTCCTGTTCAGACAGGCTGGTTGTTTGTCCATTCCCAGAACGTGCCTCCCACACTGAGACTTTGATCTGGCCGCTCTCGCCTGGAAGTCCATTTCCCACATTGCTCTCCCATAAGAATCCTTTTCATTCTTCAAGGACCACATCAAAGGTCATCTCTCCTGAGAAAACTATCCTCCCTGTCAATCAGAATTAATCCTCCATTCCTGTTTGCCCACCTCTATTGAAGTAGAATCTGTTGACCTAAAAATTATTTTAAGATGTGGTGTCCAGTAGGGATGAATTTTTATTTTTTCCCATCAAGAGAACTTATTGTTCTCTTGGGGAATTGCTGTCCCACTGTTTTAAAATAGACCTTTACCCACTGATTTGCAGTGCAACTCTGCTGTATCTCAGGTTACAAGGGGGAGTCTGTTTCTGAGCTTTCTCTTTGTTCCTATTTGATCAACTTGTCTATCCCAGTACAAATGCTGCACTGACTTAATTATTAAAGCCTAGTAATCAATCTTGTTTCCTGATAGAGCACTTTCTTTTTTTATATGTTTCTTCTTCTTAGACATGTCTTAATGATTTATATCATTTTTCTTTTCTGTATCCATTTAGAATCAGATTATTAAATTCCACAAAAGTTTCTTTTGGGATTTTGGTTGGAATTGTGTTGAATCTATAGATTAACATAGAAAGAAGTTACATCTTTTGGATGTTGAGACTTTTAAACCATTAATATGATTTTTTAAATTTATTAAATTCTTTTATTTCTTTTAATTTTTATGATTTTCTTTCTTTTCTTTTTCTTTTTTTTTTTTTGGTGAGACAGTCTCGCTCGGTCACCAGACCAGTGTGCAGTGGCGTGATCTTGGCTCACTGCAACCTCCACCTCCTAGGTTCAAGGGATTCTCCTGCCTCAGCCTCCCAAGTTGCTGGGATTACAGGCATGTGCCACCATGCCCAGCTAATTTCTGTATTTTTAGTAGAGACAAGGTTTCACCATGTTGTCCAGGATGGTCTCGAACACTTGACCTTATGATCCACCCGCCTTGGCCTCCCAAAGTGCTAGAATTACAGGCGTGAGCCACTGCGCCCAGCCTATAATTTTTTAAAAAAATATATTGAAATCTTGATTTATTCCTAGGTATTTTATTTTGCTATTTAATGATACCTCTTTAAATTGTGTTTTCTGTTTGTTTCTAGTATGTAGACACAAAATTGACTTTTATATATTTTTTTGACATCTTGTAACATTATTCTTTTAAAACATATAATAATCTAGTGGAGAATACTGGAAAAACCATAATGGTGAAACAAAAAAATAAAAATATAAACCTACAACCTAAAGATAAATCTTATTTCATATAGAACCTTTTAGTGTCTTTGTGTGTGTGCTCCATATATATACATGATATTTTTAATAAGAATATGAATCTTGAATTCTTATTCTATGTAGATTTTTATTTTTGGATTTTCTATACATATAATAAATAATAAACACTTTGGAATAAGGTAGTTTTCTTTTTCCCTTTCCAATCTTTCTTTTTCTCATTTTATTGTGTCTGCTAAGACCTCCAGCACTGTGTTTAATAGAACTAATGATAGCTAACATTCTTGTCATTTTTCTTCCTGATATTTAAGGAAAAGCTTTTAATATTTCACCATTGAATATGATGTGTACTGTAGGTATTTGTAGATAATCTGTCATGTAACTGTCTGATGGGTTCATCTTACCCACTGCCCAAATACAGTCGATTTATCAAGACAGGGGAATTGCAGTAGAGAAAGAGCCTAATGCATGCAGAGCTGACTAAATGGGAGACTGGAGTTTTATTATTACTCCAATCAGCCTCCTTGAAAATTTGGAGGCTAGGGTCTTCTTTCAAAGATAGTTTGGGGGCTAGGGAATAGGGAATGCTGATTAGTTTGGTTGGTGATGAAATCATAGGGAGTCCAAAACTGTCCTCTTGCGCTGAGTCAGTTCCTTGGGGGAGGCGAGGCAGAAGACCAGATAAACTTACCAGTCTGGGTACGTTGGCTGATCCATCAGAATGCAGAGTCTGGAAAATACCTTAAATACTAGTTTTTATAATAGTAACATTTATACATGGAAGCAACTGAGGAGGTTAGGAATCTTGTGGCTTCTGACTGCATGACTCCTAAACCATAATTTCTAATCTTGTGGCTAATTTGTTGGTTTTGCAAAGATGGTCTGGTCCCCAGGCAAGTAGGGGGTTTGTTTTGGAAAAGAGCTATTGCCATCTTTGTTCCAAAGTTTAACTATAAACTAAATTCCTCCTATTGTCAGCTTGGCCTATGCACAAGGATGAACAAGGCCAAGGTATTGGAGGTTAAAGGCAAGATGGAGTTGGTTAGGTCAGATCTCTTTCACTGCAATAGTTTTCTCACTGTTAATAAGTTTTGCAAAGGTGGCTTCAGTCAGGTTAAGGAAATGCTCTCTTTCATTCCTGCTTTGCTAAGAATTTTTACTATGAATGGCATGGGCATTGAATTTAATCAGATGTATCACTAATCTCTAGTGAAAGAAGTGTGTGCATGTATAAATTTTTTTCTCCTTGAATCCCTTAATGTAGTAAATTATATTAATAGATTTCAGAATGTTGAACCAATCTTGAATTACTAGAATGCAATTTATTTGGTCATGATTTTTTTTTTTGGGGGGGGGGCCCATTGCTGATACTTCTTTTAGGATTTTTCCATCCATGGTCATGAGTGAGATTTGTCTGGAAATTTTCATTTATATACTGTCCAATCTGGCTTTGGTTATGGTAAACTACTAAAATGATTAGTAGGAGCATGTATTCTTTTAAGTTTTCTGAGAGTTTGTATAAAAAAAGAAATTATCGGCCGGGCGTGGTGGCTCATGCCTGTAATCCTAGCACTTTGGGAAGCCAAGGCGGGCAGATCACAAGGTCAGGAGTTCAAGACCAGTCTGACCAACATGGTGAAACCCCATCTCTATTAAACATACAAAAATTAGCTGGGTATGGTGGCATGCACCTGTAATCCCAGCTACTCCAGAGGCCGAGGCATGAGAATCCCTTGAACCGGGAGGTGGAGGTTGCAGTGAGCCGAGATGGTGCCACCGCACTCCAGCCTGGGCAACAGAGCGAGACTCTGTCTCAAAAAATAAATAAATAAATAAATAAATAAATAAATAAATTAAAAGAATGAAAGAAATTATCAGTTCCTTCAATCTTTAGTCAAGCTACCCTATGAAGCCATTGTGGGCCTGTGTTTTCTATATGGGAAAAATTTAAAATACTGATTTAGTTCTTTAATAGTTATTGAATCATTCTGATTTTCTATTTCTTCTAGAGTCATTTTTGGTCATTGACTCTTCTAGGAATATTAATATCACCTAAGTTTTTACATTTGTTGGCATAAACTTGTTTGTATGTTCTTTTTTTTTTTTTTGAGACAGTCTCGCTCTGTCACCCAGGCTGGAGTGAAGTGATGTGACCTCAGCTCACTGCAACCTCCACCTCCCAGATTCAAGTGATTCTTGTGCCTCAGCCTCCCAAGTAGCTGGAATTACAGGCATGTGCCACCATGCCTGGCTAAATTTTTATATTTTTTTAGTAGAGACGGGTCTTACCATGTTGTCCAGACTGGTCTTGAACTCTTGAGTTCAGGCAGTCTGCACACTTCAGCCTCTCAGTGCTAGGATTACAGGCCTACGCCACCGCGCTCAGCCATTTCTCTTAACTTTAATCATCTCTGCTCCATTCATAGTGGTTCTTTTTCATTCTGAATTATGGCCAGGCCTGGTAGCTCACGCCTGTAATTCCAGCACTTTAGGGGGCCTAAGTAGGAGGATTGCTTTAGCGCAGAAGTTCCAAGGCCAGCCTGGGCAACCTGGCAAGACCCTGTCTCTACAAAATATAAAATATTAGCTGGGTGTGGTGGTGTGCACCTGTAGTCCCAGCTACTTGGGAGGCTGAGGTGGGAGGATCGCTTGAGCCAGGGAAGGCCGCAGTGAGCCGTGGTCACACGATTGCACTCCAGCCTAGGGGACAGGGCAAAACCCTGTCTCAAAAAATTTTTTAAAAGGTAGAAAATAAAACATAATAATGAAAAATAAAATGAATTTTAAAAAGTAAAATTGGTAATTATTTGCTATATCTTTTTCTTGATTAATCTTGAAAGTAATTTTTCATTTAATTTTTTTTCTGAAGAATTACCTTTTGAAGTGTGTTCATCTTATCTGTTATATCTTTTTTCTGCTTAATTAATTTTGTTCTCATCTTTATATTGCCTTGCTTCTTTGTTTGGATTCATTCCCCTTTTTCACTCCTTAATAATCTTTAGTTAAATGTGGAGATTATTAATTTACTTTCTTTCTTGTCTAAAATAATTGTTTAAGGTTATACATTTTTTTCTTTCTTTTTCTTTCTTTCTTTTTTTTTTTTTTTTTTTGAAGACACAGCCTTACTCTATTTCCCAGGATGGAGTGCAGTGGGGTAATCATGGCTCACTGCAACCTCACTGCCAGTAGTCCTCCCATCTGAGCCTTCCAGGTAGCTGAGACCACTGTCACACACCACCACGCCCAGCTAATTTTTTGTATTTTTTTTAGAGATGAGGTTTTGCCATGTTGGCCAGGCTGATCTCAAACTCCTGGGCTAAGGCAATCTGCCTACCTCAGCGTCCCAAAGTGCTGGGGTTACAGGTTTGAGCCACTGCCCCAGCCTAAATTTTGCTAAGTTCCTGTTTACTACATTCTAAGATTTTAAATTGAATTTCTGTTTTTTGGTAC